CACTCTTAAGGTTGGCTTGTTAAATTCTGGTCACTAGAAGTATATAGGAATTTCTTTTTTCTTTTTTTGGTTTATCTACATCAATCTATCAGAACTATTTTATCTGGTAATGTAATAAGCTTAAATGAGGAATACACTTTTTGATCTTTTTCTTCATTTTCCCTTTAATTTTGGTTTTGAGGAATATATATGTATCTTTTTAAATGTGTGAGTCCACAGACATGAGATATTAAAAATAGACTGGTCAGACCCTGGAAATGTCATAATGTTAGTTATAGTATTCACATCTAGTCTTAGATATAGTGTAGTCTAATCATCAGTCAAAATTTATACAGTGTTGTCAGGGTTTTGGTAGCTATGATTAAAAAATCATTGCTCAGATTAAAGATATGGGCAATAAAAGGAAAACATAAACAAATATATGGTACCAAACTAGTTGTTGTAAAACAGTAAAAAAAAAAGTTTGCAAATGACAACTCACAGAGACAAACCACAGGATGGGCATCACTGTTGATTACTAAAACATACACATAAAAATAGGAGGTGAGTTTTATTCTGGAGTATCAAAGGCATACTGACAAGTTGACAAATCATTTTCTGTGTTGTACAACGGGTGATAGGAGGACACAATTGTAAATAAGAAAAATCAATCAGTGAAACCAAGCTGTAGCTCAGAAGTTGGACTCTGAGAAGGGAGTGTAGTAATGGGGAGGAGAGGGTTAATGAGGTGGCTAAGCGTACAGGTTGTGTGGAAGGTTAAATCCAGGCCAATCTCAGACTGGAGAATCATGTCTGATGCAGGAGACTGAAAAACTAGATTGGTTCCAGGGAATTTCCTTAGTACCAGGTTTCTCCCCAACCATACTAGTATAACTGAATGCCAACATGTAGAAGAATGCAAATAGATTAATATCTATCACCATGCATAAAACTCTAGAGTCCAAGTGGTTCAAAGACCTCAACATAAATTTAGATACACTGAACATGGTAGAAGAGAAAGTGGGAGGTAGCATTGAACACATTGGCACAAGAGACCACTTCCTAAATATAACACCCATAGCACAGACATTGAGAACCAAAATTAATAAATGGGACCTGAAAAGCTTCTGTAAGACAAAGGACATGGTAACAATACAAAAGACCAGCCTCAGGAGAATGGGAAAAGATCTTCACCTCATCTGACAGACAGCTGACCTCCAAAATATATAAAGAACTCAAGAAATTAGACATCAAAATACCAAACAAACCAAATTAAAAATTTGGTATAGATCTAAACAGAGAATTCACAACAGAAGAATTTCAAATGGCCAAAAAGACTTTTAAGGAATTTCTCAACATTCTTAGCCATCAGGGAAATGTAAATCAGGATTGACCTAACTCTTATGCAGACTTTTCTAGTTCCATAGCACAGCAGATTCATAGAATCTCTGCTTTTTACAATACTCTGTCTCCATTTTCATTTTGAGTTTATATTGTCTGGATTTGAATTCCTTCTTGTACTGTTTAATATATTCACTAATTTCAATGATTTTATGCTATTTTTAGATACCAATTATAGGCTAAATTTTAGATTAAATCAAGTAATACACATAAGCATAAAATAGAGTCTCTCCTTTCCAATTTTCCCTCTTTCCCTAGAATCCCACTTCCCAAGTCACCACTGTTAACCAGCTGTTCCCTGTGGACTGACCAGCCTTGCACACAAACTATTTGGCTATAGCACTATAACAATTTTCTGAGTGTCAGTAATATGGTTATTTGATCTTTTAGTTTCAACTTTGGAGGAAAGCTTCTGAGTTCAGAACATTCTGGTAATGTTAACTTCTTTTTGAATTGTAGTAATAAAAAGTGTTTTAATAGTAGACTTTTAAATCAGAATCAAATGAGTAAATCAAATAATCAACTAATTAAATTTTATAAATACACTGAAATCTTACTAGTTTTGTTTTGTAGTATTTCTGATGTTGTAGCCTTAATATTTCTCATAATAATGCAGAGTTTCCAAAAGCAAGAGACGCTGGTTAAATCTGACGCTTTGCTTCTCATTACATGGACATTAAAATTTTAGTTGTCCCTCACTGATTTTAGCCATAACTTAGAATTTTTCTGTTAACTTGCTTCTACTTTCTAGGAATAAACAAAAACAAAGAGATGCAAGAACAACTGATGAAAATATTCATAGTCCTAAGTGAAACAGTGAGTTAACCTCAGTGCCCTCTACCAACTCTTTTCTCATGTTACAATAGCAATGGTATCTAGACCTTAATCCTGCATTCATTATTTTTATGTGATTTTTTTTGGAACAGAGTCTCACTATGTAACCTTGACTTTGAACTTACTATCTATACTAGACTGGTCATGGATTTACATAGATACAAAGGTCTCTGCTTTTCAAGTGCTGGGACTCTGGGCATATGTAATGATGCTTAAATATGATCCCATTACTATAATGAGACATTATACAAATAATGAACCACTTACTATTGTCTTAAAATATTTAAATATCTTAATATTATGAGCCTTTATATCAGCACTGTTAGATAAGTAAAATTTGTGTAACCATTTTACAGCTGAGCAAAACTAAGCAAATATAAGTAATTTGCTGTAGAGTACACATCAACTGTGTAAACCAGATTGAAAGACTTACTTATTCATTTATCTCCTTGCCTACATTTGTGGTGTGTGTGTGTGTGTGTGTGTGTGTGTGNGAGAGAGAGAGAGAGAGAGAGAGAGAGAGAGAGAGAGAGAGAGAGAGAGAGAGAGAGAGAGAGACATGTATGAGAATGGTCATGTAATCCAGAGAAATTTCTGTATCTGGTGCTATAGGCAGTTGTGAGCTGACAATGAGTGTGCTGGGGAATGAGCTCATATTCTTTGGATGAACAGAAAGCATAGATAAGCCAAGATCTCAACTTTGGAGTTGATCTGTAGAGACACAATGATAGTGACTGAGTTTTGCTGCTCCTTACATCTGACAACTGTAATGTTCATTGGGTACTCACATTAGGAGAAATGCCTACAAAATAAATGCACAGTATGAATGGAAATATACATGCAAGCAGATCCCTTTAGATATCATGTAAAAATTTAAGTGCCATGGCATACCAGAGTGGAAATTCTTGATTTTCACTTAATATTCCATCATAGTTGGAAATTGCAATATTTAAAATTTTAATCAGAAGGCAAATATATCTAATATTTTTTTATTTAAGCAAATATGATTTATTCACACTTTGTGTGACTTTATTTTTGCAAACAGGGTTAAAGCTTTTATTTGTTTTACACAGGGTTTTGTGTATTCATTACTTTTTTTTTATTTTTATTGAGCTGTACATTTTTCTCTGCTCACCTCCCTTCTGATTTTAAGAAATTAGGAGTATTAAAAATTCTTCTAAAGGTATTAAAAATATTTTGTAAGTTCTAAAATTGTTAAGATGATTTTTACTGTGTATATTTTGGCACCCATTGTGATTTATGTTATGTGAATTTTTATGTGCATTATAGAGTTCAAGTGTCCTGCTAAGGTCAAGAAGAGTTTTCTAGACTTCATCCTTTGACATTATCTTCATTCCATATTCCTGTGAATTACCCCATCTTCAGATGCTTCAAAATTAGAAACTAGTTAGTTCTGTAGCACTGAATTAAAAGATCTCATCAGATGTCTTATTTTAGCTTTATATCTGGTCCCTTAAACTTACAAACACTTATGTAATTTTATCACTTATTATTCTACTAATATGCTTACTATTCAGTATAACAAATTAATAGAGTTTCAATTAAAATCAAGGCATGAAATATAACACTAGCTTCATATCTATTTCCCAAACATTATAAAGAGTACTGTGTTATAAAATGTATCTTAAAAATAAATGTAAAATATATATATAAATGACTCTAACTTCATGGGTAGAAACATAGTTTCCTGTTTGTGAACGTTTATAATTCCCTTGTTTTTATTTTGATTGGTCTTGGGTTTAGTTTTTCACAGACACTAAATACTTATTTCTTTTAATTTCTGTATTAACTGTGTAAGTTAGAAAAGACAAATTGCTTCCCTATTTCTTCTTTTTCCCTCTCTACTTCTATAGCATGAGATGGAAGATGCTTCCTTCATTTCAGTTTCCCTCTCCTCAAATTGCAATCAGATTTGCCCTTCTATTGCTTTCCTTTTCTTCAGCTCAATTTTCTTTCCATTATCTATTTAGATGCCTTTATTTTAAATGATCAATTGGATGGAACAGATTAAAGATATAAAAAATAAGAGGAAAATAGAAAAAGAATGGCATAAAAAGGAAAAATCTTGGAGAAAATTCATTGTCTCTACATCTCTGCAATGCTCACATTACCATTTCAGAAAATGCCATCTTTTTATTGATTTTTATTGAGCTCTACATTTTTCTCTACTCCACTCCCTGCTTCTCCCCTCCCACATTCAACCCTCCCCCAAGGTCCCCATGCTCCCAATCCACTCAGGAGATCTTTTTTCTACTTCCCATGTAAATTATGTAAGTCTCTTTTATTGTCCTCATTGCTGTCTAAATTCTCTGGGATTGTGGACCGTAGACTGGATTCTTTTTGTTTTATGTTTAAAAACCACCTATGAGTGAATATATTTGATAATTGTCTTTCTGTGTCTAGGTTACCTCACTCAAAATAGTGTTTTCTTGCTCCATCCATTTTCCTGCAAAATTCAAGACATCGTTATTTTTTCTGCTGTGTAGTACTCCATTGTATAAATATACCACATTATCCATTCTTCAGTTGAGGGGAATTTAGGTTGTGTCCAGGTTCTGGATATGACAAACAATGTTACTATGTACATAGTTGAGTACATGTCCTTGTGTCATCATTGAGCATCCTTTGACTATATACCCAAAAGTGGGTCTTGAGGAAGGTTATTTCCTAATTTTCGGAGAAATCACCACACTGACATCCAAAGGGGCTGTACCAGCTTGCATTCCACAAGGCAATGCAGAAGTGTTCCCTCTTCCCCACAACCTCTATCTAGAAGTTATTCTCCTGAAAGCCCCTTTAACATCCTTGTTCCTCAAGCTGTAAATGATAGGATTAAGCATGGGGGTCACTGCTGAATAGAACACTGAAATCATTTTATCCTTTTCATTCATTGTCTTGGAGTTTGGTCTCATGTAGGCAAATATTGCTGAGCCATAGAAGAGACCAACAACAATGAGGTGGGTACCGCAGGTAGAGAAGACCTTTAGCCTCCCCTCCCCAGACTGCATCTGGATCACAGTGGAAATGATGTTCCAATAGGAAATGAGGATGAGGGAGACAGGAGCTAGGAGGATTATCACACCCATTGCAAAGATGGCCATTTCTGTGCTGTAGGTGTCTGCTGAAGCCAGCTTCAGGAGGGCAGGAGGTTCACAGAAAAAGTGGTTAATGACATTGCTTCCTCGGTAAGGGAGACGCAAAGTAAAGGTGGCATCTACCATGGACACAAATGCACCACTGGCCCAGGACCCTGCAGCCAGCTGGACACATACCCAGTGTGTCATGATGGTGGAGTAGTGCAGAGGCTTACAGACAGCAACGTATCGGTCATAGGACATCACTGCCAGGAGTGCACAATCTGTACATCCAACCAGAAGTAACACAACAATCTGTGTTGTGCATCCAGCAAAAGAAATGGTCTTTTTCTTCACCAGAAAGTGGACAAGCACCTGGGGAACTGTGGTGGTAAAAAAGCAGAGATCCGCAAAGGACAG